GTCTTCTTGAATATTAAAGTTGCAATCCAATTCTTAAACTTCTGGGGAAGTTAATTCTCTGTGGGATTTAGTTCTGAATTAACATGTATAGGACTGTGCTGTTAATGGATATGTTGCTTATATATTAAGTATTGTTTCTAAAGATATCTGTATGGATACATTTTGTTCAAATCCAATAATGTTCTGCAGGAATACCTGAAACAGCTGCATGAAATTCGCCGACAGTACCAGAGTGAAGTAAATGAAATTCGTCTTAAAGCAGAAGCACTCAAGGTAAATGCCCTTGCACCAAATGGTTACTTGGTGGGCTGTGGAAAGCATTGGAAACAGATGATTTGCAAAGCACATTAGCCCAAACAACAGATCTTTTTTGAAAGCATTAAAAAAGCTAGCAAGACTAGCATAGCTGCTCCAAAAGTTGTTCCTGCTTGTCTGGGCATGCATGTGCATGCATAGGCAACACTGCTTCTGCTGGGAATGTAGCAAAGCAAAGCAGCTGCGCATGCACACCCATGCTGAGACAGCCAGGACAGCTCTTGAAGCGACTGCTCAAGCCTTGCAAAAGAGGTGGCTGCTTCAAAGCAGATTTATTGAAACTAACAGACAATGTGAAACACCTCTTTCAGTGGTGTAGGTGCAGGCCTAATGTATATCCCGTGGGTGTCTGAGGAGGGCGACAAGAGAGGCAGTTGAGAAAGCATGCATGGGATGTCACTCATACAAATGCTGTGGCTTAATTACTTGTGCCAGGATGTTGGGACACAAGTACATAATTACAGCATTTACGTGATTTGTCACTGTGTGTATGTCACTTTGATGTCATTCTGGTTAGTAGCAGGTGCTGCTGGTATACTGTTGTTTTCTCATACTTGTCTTTCTGTGATCTTAAGAATCTTTAATATAAATTTTGGCTTTTTAAGATGAATATTGTTATCTGTTGTAATGAAATGATAGGTATGCACTAAAAAGACTGAGAGATTCCTGAAAAAACACAAAATAATTTTTTATCTTACATACCTATGGAGAGAGGGATCTCATCATTATTATCATTATATTTATGGAAGCTTTGCCTCTGGGTTGCGTGGGTAAACTTATCCAGCTTCTCTTTTTCCCCAAAAAGCACCTCCTTTTTAACTTTTAAACTTCACTATTCAATTCTTTTTTGTTCAGGAAACGGCACCGAGGTTTTACCTTTTCTCTCTGGAGAACATATTATTGGATGGCATATCAGAGTCAGAATTTAAAAGATTTGGAAGGATAATTTTAGTGGCTATAAAACACATTAATTAATTAATTAATTAATTCCACTGGTGTTTGTGCATGTTTGATCAGTTACTCTTACAAAGACTTAAAAGAAAGAACTGGTTGGAAATCTGACACTCTCTACTTGAAAGCATAGGCCAAATTTCCCCCTCCCTAACTCGATGGATGGATGGAATGAAAGAAGATGAGCATGGTTTTAAAATTGGAGGAAGTAACCTGCACTATATTGATGTCACTACCCTGAGAGCCAAAAATGCAAAGGATCTGCAAAGCCTAGTACTAAAAATCAAAGAGTGCGATAAAAAAATGGGACTAAAATTAAATATAAAGAAGACCAAACTAATGGCAGCAGGTAGAACAACCAGCCTTAGAACTGACAGTGAAGATATTGAAGTGATGGATAGCTTCTGCCTTTTAGGATCAACCATCAACAGTAAAAGAACAAGCAGTCAAGAAATATGCCACAGACTAGCTGTCAGCAGAGCAGCTGTGAAGGCTTTGGAGAAGATTGGATATCTTCTGGCCATTTGGATGCCATGATGTTTCCATACCTATGAAGATCAGAATTGTGCAAGCAATGGTATTCCCTGTGAGATTCTATGGAAGTGAAAGTTGGACTTTAAAGAAGCAGGATAGGAAGAGTATTGACACCTTTGAACTTTGGTGTTG